TGATGAAGTAGTCGATTATGGTCTTGGCGCCGGCTTGGATGCAGGTGGGGTCTGCAGGCGCCTTCACACACCAATCTAGCCGGTTAAACTTGACCTGGGCGTCTAGCTCGTGCGGCGGATTGTTGAAGTCGCCGCCAACTATACATTGATGTCCATGTTCGACCACATCTCGGACTATCCTGCGTAAAATACCTCGGTTGGCCTTCCCAATCCCCTCCTTATCTTTGAAGTAACAGGAATAAGTTGACAAGGTGCCCAAAGATGACGTTCGCAAATAGCATCGGCACACCCTTCCATGAACCAGCTCTTGAGATACCGGGTTTGCCTATCCATCCACATGCGAACGACATTAGATCATGACGCCTGCTGCGGGCCCTTTGTTTGGGCCGGGTATTGCGGCAGAGCAGAACACCTTCCACCCAACAACACGCAGTTGCATGAGAATTCCTGACAAATTTTCTGGACCAATCCGGTGTTCTTGAAGAAGCACAATATCGTAAGCTTCGCGAGCTTGTAGGAGCGCCCGCTCTGTTACCCACCCAGATACGTTGAGTGTTATGATCCGTAGCACTCGTGAGGACTTAGATTATTTATGCTGAACTTCGAGACGACCGTGCGCCTTTTCCGCATTTGGTGTGTCCTTTCGCCCATTTGCTGGCGTGCTGTTGAAAGGCTTCGAGGAGAGCATCTTCGGAATCAGGTGGGAGGCCTGAGAACCCCTCGTCTGAGGCCAGTAAGCTCCGCACCACGGCGGCGGTGTCGTCGGCCTCGGAGCGCTTGTCTTTGGCGCCTCGGGTGGCCCGCGTTGCTGCGAGCTTGTCCTCGTCCTCTCTGGCTTGATCCTCGTCGTCTGTGAAGTTTTGGCCTGAAGCTTCGTCGCCATCGGAGTTGCCGAGGTTGTACATGTTGTCGTAGGCAGAACGTAACTCTTCTTTATTTGGGTGGGTGTTGATGACGTGCTCCCAGATTTCGAGCTTTCGTTTAAGATCCGACCACGACTGAAGAACCTCTGCCTCCTCCTTCTCCTTCTGGAGCTCCCCGGTCTTGCCGGAGAGGTCGTACTCGAGTCCTTCGATCTCCAGCCGGAAACTTTCGGTTCGGTGTTCCGCTTCCTGCCATTGCTCTGCGAGTTTGGCCTGCATCTCCTCGAAGTAACGGATGTCCGCCTGTGCTTTATCCAGCTGCTGTTTCTTCTTCCTCAACTGGTTCTCGACTTTTTTGATTTGGACCGAACGGGGTACCTGCCTGTCCTGATATTCCTTGAAGGTTTGCTGCATGGACTCCAGCATCGGGACCAGGTCGGTGGGGACGTCGGTGTGCTTCGCATGGGCCCGCTGGACCAGCTGGTAAAGGAGAGCGGAAGTTGACAGCGGACCACCTTTCCCGTGGCCTTTGCCGTAATCTTTGCCGTAGCCTTTGCCGCGACCGTGTTTGCCTCCTTGTCTGCCATGCGCTGGTTCCTGGACGCTCCCTGCTCCTTGCCTGTGCCATGACTGGCGTTGCTTTTGCCATGGCGGGATTGGTCCTCCAAATGAGTTGGGGTGATGCTCCGAGCCCCCGGTTCCGGCAAGGTTGGGACGTCCGTTTCCCCAAGCACCTCGGGCTGGTCTGGGTGGTTGAACTCGAGGCCCAAGTAGCAGAGGATGAAGACAGCGGTAGACTGCCACGATAGATTCTTCTTATTGCCGCAATTGAGACAACGAATGAGGAAGGCTTGCATGCCATCGGTAGCAATCGGCTAAGATGTGGAAGCTTGCAGGCTTAAGTAGGGTAAGTGTCAGAACCCACCCCCCAGAGGTCACCCAGAACGCCCTGGCGTTCACTTTGAACCAGAATGGCCACTTGAGCCAAAATGGCTACAGACAGCGGCACGACCAGCAGCGCCAGCAGGCGGCCTCCTGCCAACGCCAGCTGCATCGCGCCCCGAGGCCCGCGCGGCCGCCGGGGGGCGGGGGGGCGGGGGGCGGGGGCGGGGGGGCGGATGCCTCCCGCCCCTGAGCCACCCTCCTTCTCCGTCCTCCTCCTTCCTCCTTCCTCCTCCTCCCGCCCTCCCTCCTTCCTCCTTTTCCGTCCTCCTCCTCCTCCTTGTCATCCTCGTCTTCCTCCTTCCGCCTCCTCCTTCTCCTCCCCCTCCTCCTCCTCCTCCTCCTCCCTCCCTCCCTCCTCCCTCCTCCCTCCTCCCTTTTCCATGTTCCCTTTTCCCTTTTTCCCCCTCCCTCCTCCCTCCTCCCTCCTCCTCCTCCCTCCTCCTCCTCTCATATTCCTCCTCATCCTCCTCGTCTTCCTCCCCTCCTCCTCCTCCTCATCCTCATGCCCCTCTCCTCCTCCTCCTCCTCCTCCTCCTCCTCCTCTTCCTCCTCCTCCTCCTCGTCTTCGTCCTCCTCCTCCTCGTCTTCTTCTTCCTCCTCCTCCTCCTCCTTCACCTCCTCCTCCTCCTCCGCCTCCTCCTCCTCCTCCCTCTCCTCCTCCTCCTCCTCCTCCTCCTTCTTCCTCCCCTCCCTCTCCTCCTCCTCCTCCTCCTCCTCCCCCTCCTCCTCCTCCTCATCCTCATCCTCCTCCTCCCTCTTCCTCCTCCTCCTCCTCCTCCCTCCTCCTCCCTCCTTCTCGTCCTCCTCCTCCTCCTCCTCCTCCCTCCTCCTGCTGTTGCTCCTCCTCCCGCTCTTCCTCCTCCTCCTCCTCTCCCTCCCCCTCCTCCGCCTCCTCCTCCTCCTCGTCCCCGTCCCCCTCCGCCTCCGCATCCTCCTCCTCCTCCTCCTCGCACGTCGCCGCGGGCAACGTCTCTCCTCACCGCGCTTGCGCCCCCGCGCGCGCACTGCCACCCCTGGCGCCAGCACGACGCACCAGGACTGCCCTTATGGCAGGGAAGGTGGATTCGCCCGCCTCCCACGAGACTGGAGGCTCGAAAGCATGCAACCTGATGAACAGAAGATAAGAGGCGATGGGCAACAGGAGAGACGAGTCAGAGGGAGCAATGAGGCCGAAGCGACGGATGGGGCAAGCAGGAATGAAATCAAGACGCAGCAGAGAGGTAACTAGGCCCCACAGTCGTGGACACGCCCAGTAGTGTGTGAAGCAGTCAGGTGCATTCATACACCCTAGCATACATTGTTTCAAATTATCGTCGTGCATTCGGAAACTTGTTATCCATGCGCCCGAGAAGGCCCGCCACGCGGCATTTCTCAGCGCAGGAGGGAACTTGACAACTTCAGCTTGCACGGAGCTCCAGCATATGCCCTGGATCAGGCGCTTTTGAGCAGGGTGGTACCTGCACAGGCGGGCACTCCAGCCCCGAACGAGGCTCACAGGGAAAAGGATACCAGAAAATGTTCTGCGCAGAGCCCCTTGGATCTTAAACTTCTGTGAAGGGTGAGGATGCTCACGCCGCTCTGGCTGCAGTCTGCTCGAAGTTTTGAGGGTGGCCGCGCCAGCAGCCCGGTACTCAGGGACCGCGGAACATCCATTCGCAGCCAAACATAACTGCTCTGCGAACGCGGGAGCTTTCCAGAAGCTCGGAAAAAGTTTCTTAAGACCGATGCCTAGGAGAGAAAGGCACCTCTCAACTTCCCTCTCCAACATGCTTAGAAGAGGCCTCCACTCTGGGAGGGTCGTCACTGCAGATCGCATTAAAGTGGCAGCACAACTCGTTTCTACACTATCGATTTTGGGCCCTCCCCAGGATTTGGGTTCAACAAGCGAGGCCAGGGATAACGCACAATTGGGGGAAGCAAAAACAGAAGCCAGGGAGGCGTGCTCGAGGCGCCTCAGAGAGGGGACCCCAGGAAGCTGGAGGGGGAGCTGGGCGAACTGGGCTACGTGTGAGAGCGTGCTAATAGCTCGCTTATTATATAACTATTCAGCAACTCCAGTGGGGCATCGCTCCCGAGCAATCTGCGCAGCTCGGGTGGACCACTTCTGGATGGGCTGGACCCAAGCCTCACGCGAGGCCGCGGGACCGAGGACGAGGCCGAGATACTCCACCATCGCAACGATATTAAAATCGGCCCACTCGGGGATGTTATTACAAAGCCAGGATCTATACAGCTGAGCGCGGAATTCGTCGAAGGGCCCTGATAGCGGCACTATATAGCATTTACTACTCTTGAGTTTCAGATGAGCGAGTTCACGACTGTGATCAAATACCTGCGTCAGCTGCTTCCGCTGCTGGATCTCGGCTACCACTGCTCCCGCGTCGTCTGCGCAAGCTTTTGCTGCCGATATCGGTCGCCTCCTTCTCTCACGCGTGCCATCTTGATTGGGCAGCTCTCGAAATTCTGCCATGAAGGGATGACTGCATATCGCATAGATGGCTCCCGACGCTGGGCAGCCCTGCAAGATTCCACTGAGGACCTCGAAGAGGAATAGAGTGGTCTGCTGGTGCACTCCGAAGCACAGCACGTTCTGATATATGTATTTCATGGGCACGAGCATCGGCGGTGGCAATTGGATGTACTCAAGCACGCGGAAGATCCATACATGTGCTACCGACGGGAAGGCCTGACCGAAATCAAATGTACATAATGCTGGCAGGGATAAGGCTGCGGACGGTTGCATACTCACCATTCGTGCTCGCGCATCAAAGTCTATGGTGTTCACCCCGAAGTTGCGACCCTGGACGAACCCCCTCTGCTCGCAGTCTATGAACTCCCCGAGGCGACGAGAGAGATTCCGAACGACGACGCCCGTCAAGATCTCGTTGCTTGTTTGTTTGAGTCCTAAAGGTCGTGTTTCCCCTGCTTCACGAACCACCTCCTCCTCATATCCTTCTTTGGACCCCTTGGCTAAAAACGCGCCACGTATAAAATTGAATTCAGGAAGTGAGCTCCCTCCACCCAAGATCCACCACAGAGCACGATCCAAGACCAAGACTCCCATAGGATTGAACCTCCAAGCCCGATAAGAGAGCCCATCGGGCCCAGGTGCGCTATCGTGTGCTCGTTCAAGCTGCCGATCGATGTTCGCTTGTGTGGGGGGCGGAAGATCCTGCAAGTTTACCTTCGGGCCGTGCTTCTCGAGATACTGATCTATGGCATTGAGGTCAGACTTTCTCCTCTCGCCGAAGACTGCGCCCCAGTGCTGCCCGAGCAGCTGCAGGACTCCGATAGGCACGCGCACGACGGCCCCGCCGTCCGCACAGATGCCTTTGAGCAACACCCGTCGCCCAAACGGCGCCCACAGTCGGCCGCGGATCACCTGACCTTTGAGACGACGGCGAAGTTTGGCTCTTGTGCTTTCACTTTCAGTGCTTTGAATGCTGTGTCTGGTCTTGGCTTGCTCATGTTGGTCCATGGCTCGATGAATATGGTCAGTGATCTCGGCAAATTCGCTTGCATTCGTGAGAGTGACGGTCCGCTCCAGCACGTCGATGCTGAGGAACCGCCTGCCTAAACTACTGCTCGCTCTGACCGTCTCTCCTAATCTGAGGTCTTGTCTCCAAGCAGCTCTGGCAATCGATGTCACAGTGATGAACCTCGAGAAGAGACTATCTGGCGAGGATCGCAGCATAGTGTTCCTGGCTATCTTCGCGGCCTCCTGCATCATCCTAGTAACGAAGTCGAGGGCGAGGGGCGGGGTGAGCGAGTCGATGTCGCAAATCTCTGAAATATTCTGGAGAACCTCGGAGTATTTCGGGTGAAGGTAAACCTCTGAGGGGATGCTGGAATACCTCCGATCCGAACTCGCAGGACGGCCGTAAGACAGCGACACTTGCACGGGGGCGCGGTCACGAACTCCCCGTCTGAAGAGAGCCTCGGGAAGGTCAAGTACCTCGCCCGACACGCAAAGCTGGTTCAAGATCCAGCCCGTGAAACTCACAAACTGCCGACATATCGAGGTGAGTAGCCGATGCTGAGCGCTGTAGTGAGTCGGGACCGAAACGTAGAGCTCAGTCATCTTCCCAAGGGCTGTCATGAAAATCGGGTCCTGGCCACGCCTGTATTCCTTCGCAAAGTTCAACTTCGGGACCTGGGGTCGGTTTTGTCCTGAAATCCTGTGCGCATCAACTACATCCTCTTGACAAGGTAGCTGGTCGGCGAAGTTAGAGTCGCCAGCGACAACGACGAGCATAGTTCCTAGCGAAGCCGTGGCTTGTGAAAGATCATCTAGCATACTATCTGTAATCTGTTGTCTAGCATCTCGTGTTAGCTTGAAGTTGCGAATGCTGCAATGGCTAATCCAGACGTCCCTGCCGAAAACAATCCTGAGATTGAATGCCATGCCAGGAACCAAAACTCTGGGCTCAACCACTGGAGCCTTCGGACCAAGGAACGCGAAGTTCGGGAAGAACGTCACCACTCCTCCAGCCTGAGAAGACGGGCAAAAACTCGGTGCCGCCAGCACCTCCTTATGGTAGTGATATAAGACCTCTTGGATCTCCATCTCTGACCCGTGACTCTCCTGCACTGCCAGAATTGACCCAGGGGCCAGAAGCCTCCGAAGGGTACGTAGCTTCTTATCCCGCATGTTGGGGTCAAAGTATAATAGGGCTCTTGGGTTCGTCTCCGATTCTGATCGAGAACTTCTTACTGGCGGGGTCCCCCTCAACGACGAAGTCGGATTCTGCAAGACTGTTCCGCTCGAGCCAGGGCTTGAGCGCATTGAGCATATGCTGCTTCGGAATGAATGACGTTGCGTGATCGAATGGCCAAAATGGACGGGTCGATCTCGCGGTTGAACGACTGGTCGATCGGCTTCGGCGTGGGTCTCTCTGATTGAATGTCCCCGAGGAGGGTTTGGAGCCTCGTGATTTGCATCTTGAGGCTGTTGATCTCGGATGTGTGCTGGTTGACCGTTCCTTCGACTGTGGCAATCCGCACCTCCATCTGCTTTTGAATAGCCTCGAAAGACGAGGTGGCCAGGTTGGACAAGTTAGCGAGTCCGTTGTTGATCGTGGCGACCTGGGATTGCAGGCTTCTGACCGCGGAGTCCATCGCCCTCTTGGTTTCCTCCATGTGTTCTCGTAATGCATCAATATCACCGCCAGTGCGAGCAGCCACGCGCCGACCAGTTGTAGCCACCTCCTGAGACGGGAATGTCGGGGCGGCGTCCAACTGTGCTGCCAGGTCCTCATGCTTCCCGCCCATTGCAAACTGCTTTGAGCTGGAAATCTGGCTTCGGATGCCTCAAGGTCAAAGACCGGGGCCGGCCTGGGCAGGCACCTACACGACCTCTTCGGGCCCCTCCTGGCGGGGCGTCTTGAGGCGGGGGGTACCAAGTTCCCAAACGGCGACGACTTGAGCCAAAATGGCTACGGACCTCCTCCTCCTCCTCCTCCTCCTCCTCCTCCTCCTCCTCTTCCTCCTCCTCCTCCTCCTTTTCCTTCAGGCCATGCCTGGCAGGGCCACCCCTGGCGGGATCGCTAGTCTCACCGAGGCAGCGCGCCACCTACCTCGAAGAGCTGGCTCC